ACTCAACCCTGTGAGGCCACACCAGGCAAAGGCCTTGTGAAGGGCCATGTGGGGACCCCAGTGTGAGGGTCTGAACTGGCCATGGGCCCCAAGCAGCAACCTGTCTGGGTGGAAATGGTGGGAGGCAGGTGAGGGGAGACGCAGCCAAGCCCGGGTTCCACTTGTGGTTGGTGGTGCCTGGGCCCATTCCCTGGTAGGAAAGTGACCGGCCTGTGCAGGCCTCCTGTGTCCCCGCCAGCTGCCAGCACCACATCCTGTGAACTCAACGTCAGTCTGACTCGAGACCCCGTTGGTGGCTTTGCAGTCATGGGCTAGACTCCAGAAGTGATAACTACAGGGAGAAAGGAGGGGGTAAGGAGAGCTATTTGATTGGGTTTAGAGCTCAAGGGTGCACTCCTACTGCCCAGACGGTGGAGGGGAAGCCATGCGGTGCCAGCAGCCACCCCAGGCCCCGTTGGACCCGTTGGACCCGTTGGACCCGTTGGACCTGTCCTACATGGGCAGACTCAGGGCTGCAAAGAAAAGGGCCCAGCGTGGAGCCCCCCTGACACCCTGACGAGGCGGCTGGAGCACAGGAGCCGGGCCAGCGGGTCCAGCGGGGCTCCAAGGACACCAGCCGTGACTCTCCTTGCCAGCCTGAGCTTGGGTGGGGCTCCATTCACACCTGCTGGGGTGGCTTGAAGGGGTAAGTGAGGCTGGGGTGTCCCTGACAACATGGGAAGGGCCCTGCCCTGTGGAGCTATGTGACAGGCCCCTCCCAGGAAGGACTGAAGGTGACCTCAGGTGGGCAGCACCTCCCGACTCTCACCAGCCGACACACCTCCTCCCTGGTGAGCGACGTGCACCGCTGGCCCCAGGATAGGAACAGGACCCTCCACTATGGTGAGGACGTGAAGCAAACCAGGTGCAGCCAGCCCCCCTGACCCCGCACCCCTGAAACAGCCCCATCCCTGCTGCACGGGCCGGCCCAAAATGATCTTGTGTAAATAGGGCGGGTCACCGTGGATGTCCACCATGCTGGTCACAGCCAATGCCGCCCAGGAGACCAGCAAGTTTCCAGTGACCCAGGGCTGCAGTGACTTGCTCAGGAGGAAGACAAGCTGTGGCCATCCCATGGGAAGGAATCCCTCATGGTGTCCCNCCTGACCCCGCACCCCTGAAACAGCCCCATCCCTGCTGCACGGGCCGGCCCAAAATGATCTTGTGTAAATAGGGCGGGTCACCGTGGATGTCCACCATGCTGGTCACAGCCAATGCCGCCCAGGGGACCAGCAAGTTTCCAGTGACCCAGGGCTGCAGTGACTTGCTCAGGAGGAAGACAAGCTGTGGCCATCCCATGGGAAGGAATCCCTCATGGTGTCCCTAGGACAGCCCAGCCCCCAGCCAGGGAAATGCTCACACTAGAAGGTGGGATTTGAGCAGGACCACCCTCCCCGCAGGTGCACGCACTGCAGTGTTGGCCCTGCTTTGCGGGGAGAAGGTAGAGAGCAGTGAAGGTTAGAGCTGCTCACGAGCCCAGCAGAGCGCCACGCAGGAGCTGGCAACACCCAGGAACCATGAAATGCGCATCCCAGACTCAACAGAGAACAAGCTGGGCCTCCAGATGCTGGCAGTGAGCAGCACACAGCCACGGCTGAGTCCTGACCCCGGGGCACACCTGCCAGGGATGACCTGAGGCAGCAGGGGCTCCCAGGGAGAGCCTCTCCTGCAGCAGCTGGGAAGTTCCTGTGGACACCCACACACCCTCGTGATGTGGTTTGGGATGAGTCGGCCACAGGGACACGCGGGCGTCCGATGCTGCCACCTGGTGGTCACCCCTGGGACTTCCTTTTAATTCAGGTCTAAGAAAACGCAGCGCGGTGCATCCTGCCATACTCAAAGACCCCACATTTGTCAGCGAGGACAGACCTCACAGACTTGCCCCTGGCAGCAGCTGCTCATACTTCTGGGGTGCCAGGACCACCTCTGCCCAGTTCCTCTTTCTGGTGGCTGCTGTCAAGGGAGTGCTGGACTCCTGGCTCCAGGAAGAACTTGGCCCTCAGCAGGGGGCAGAAAGGCCAGGGTCAGCCTTTGGAACCCTGGAGCAGCGAATGGTGATGAGGTTGGCGAGCCGGGAGCTCTGGGCCCAAGCACGCCTCTGCCAGTCACTTGCCAATGGCCAAGAGTGAGGCAGGTGGCCCAGCTGTGAAATGGACAAATCCCACCTGCCTGTCTCAGACTGGGGGGGGACTCAAATGACATCACACCCTTCTGGATTTTGAAGATGCATGAGACAATGTTACTACCCAAAGGCACCCCAAGGGGGGTATCCATCCTCTCAACGTCCCTGGTGGGACAGGTAACAGAGGGTCTAGGCACCCTGACACCCATAAGGCACCCCAACATCCAGACAGACACCCCAATACCCAACAAGCATCCCAGACTCCAGACAAGTGCCTCAATACTCAACAGGCATCTCGACACCCAGACAGAAGCCCCAACATACAGACAGACACCCCAATACCTAACAAGAATACCCCACAGGTAAGTTAATACCCAGACAGGTGACCCAGTTCCCAGAGGCCGCAAGGCCCCTGCAGCTCCTGCAATCCCCAGTCGCTGGCTCTGGCATGTGCTGAGGGAGGCTGTACTTCAGGCTCTGTGAGCCAAGGGCCTGTGCAAGTCTTACTGAATGAGGGCATAGTACTGCTGGGTCAGGTCCTCCCACTCGGCCTCAGTGAGGTCCTCCGTGGCGCCCTCTGCCATGTCGATGTCCTCATGCTCCAGCTTCCCCAGGTAGGTCTGGCACACCTTGTATGCGACGTCCACAAGCTGCCTGGGAAGGCCCGTGAGCTTTGCCTCAGCCTTTTCAGCATCTGAAACCCAAACACAGGCACATGGAGAATGGACCCCCACAAGGAGGCAGCCCCGCCCACCTCATGGAGTGATGCCTAAAGCCATGGACAAAGGCAGCTCCACTCCCTCTGTGCCCCAATACCCAACAAGTATCCCAGACACCCAGACAGGCATCCCAAGACCCCACAAAGCTTCTCTGGGCAGTCACCTGGATGCCACGCCTGCGTCTGTGCAGGTGACTTCCTCCCCCTGAACGGCCCCATCCTCCACTGGCTCCATGAGTACCACCTCCCCAAACAAACATGTGAACCCTGCCACCTGACTCTCATGCCCCACAGTAGCAATTACTGATAAGTTCAACTTCATTAAAATGAAAACTTCTGCTCTGTAAAGGACAGTGAGAAGACAAGCCATAGATTGGGAGGAAATATTTGCACACATCTAATAAAGGAATGTTATCTAGCGTATGCAGAGAACTCTTTTAAGTCAACAATAAGAAAACATAATTTTATTTTTTATTTGTATTTTTTTGAGCCAAAGTTTTGCACTTGTCTCCCAGGCTGGAGTGCAATGGCAGGATCTTGGCTCACTGCAACCTCCCCCTTCCAGGTTCAAGAAATTCTTGTGCCTCAGTCTCTCAATAGCTGGGATTACAAGTGCCCACCATCACACCTAGTTAATTTTGTATTTTTAGTAGAGATGGAGTTT